CAAGCACCAAACTCCTTTTTAAGAAATCTGTTGATTTTATATTTATACACTTATTTTACTTAGTGGCTAAAAGAGGATTTTGAGATATTCTTCTATTAATGTTGGACCAATGAATTTAAATTCAGCATGACAACAACAGCACATAAGGCAAAAATGATCTTTGAAGTGACATTTCTTTCCAACAATAGCTTTAATCTTGAAAAGAATACCAAGTTTTAATCAGATGTTTCAGCTAATGAAAAACAAATGTTTGTTTCGATTAAGCAAAGCTCTATGCCGAGTTTAATATAATCATTAATACATTATTTAATGGCTAACAATTGTGTTTACTACTCTGTGGTTTTAAAGTCTACATGTTTATGTTAAATTACGACACTTATGAATGAGGTTTAGTGAGAACACCATCCACTGTAGTTCTGTGGCACATTGTAGACAGCTAATTATATAATGGTTGTACAATATCATTAACATATATTACTAATATAGGTACTAAGAAGAGTGAACTCAAATATAGTAAGGTTAACGTTCATGTTGCTGAAGCAGTAAGGTAATCGCTAACATAACCGCAGAACCCATTAATCGTGACTCACATGTGGTCAGTTTTATGAACACTCAGCGGGTTTCATAGCAACCGAACCAAGGCTACAGTCAGCGTTTACTCAAACTAACTAACTGTCAAACAGCCGTCAAAGGTATAAATTAAAACTACCTTTCCCATAGGACATGTTGCTAACGGCTAGTTAACGTTAGCTGGGTGGTTGCCCAGTGATGCTAAGTTGGCTAGCAACGGTTCAAAGGGTTATCAAGCAATATGTGATACGCAAAGATTGCAACGCATTCTAATGTTAGCATTTCAACACGTAAACCGATATTAACACAGCAACTTGCCAGTTTCCAGAGCCAATAATGCAGACTTTCTTCGGAGCTGCCATCGTGGAGAGGTAAACCGATGAATAGGGTTTGAGTCGACACAGACTGTGGACCTGCAGTGTGGTTATGCAACACGCTGAGCAGCATTCAGATTGGCCTTCCGGGGGGAGACTCTGCACCGCCCTTTAAAACCAGGGCCAAGTCCGGTCATTCATTAATCCACAGCCCCCTGGGGCTCAAAGTAAAGCGGGCAAAAGTGAAGTCTGCAGGCATTCCACGTTTTATGACCCAAGATCTCTGGTTGGTTAATGATGTGATAAGTGTGTGCAAACAGTCTTTTAAGCAGACACAGTGGTGGAGGGTTCTGTACTTAAGCCATTCTGTCCTACTTGATATATCTAATCCACCTCAATTCAGATATTCAGCTACAGATATTGTGCTGCATTATATGATAGCTTTAGTTATTTGACGGATAGTTTTTGCAATATAATTAGAATAAATAATAGATCGATTTAAAGTATTTTTCTTTAGATACTTACTTTAGTGCTTTTGTTTTTTAAGTTAAACTTTGAATGCATGGCTTTTACTTACTTTTAAGTATTTCTACACTGTGGTATTAGCCTACTACTTTTACTTGAGTAGAAGTACTTTTTCAACCACTGTTTGTCAGAAGGTACACCCAGTGGTGGACAGTATTGTGGGCTACATAGGTAGGCCTACTAGTTTGATGTACTTTACTGAAGTAATTCATGAATTGTACTGCTGTACTTCTACTACATTTCACAGGATATACTTTTGTAATAGTATTTTTACATTAAAGTATTGATACTTTGATTTTGTGTAAGATGAAAACACACTTTTCATGATCAAACACTCATAAACTGAAGACTGATTATATGAAACATGATGCATTGCTATAGATTAAACTACCTTATGTTATATAACGTAGAAAAAACCTCCATCACCACCAAATTAAAATGCTGAATACTGAGAAAAGTTTTTCATTTAGGGATTTTGATTCTAGTCCTCTCCCTGCTTCCACCACAGTCAAAAATATAGCCGGTCTGAGGCAATTGGAAACGGGACTCAGAGAGGCACGTGGAGAGCTGGAACTTTGATGGCAAACACTGATGGATTATTTGGAGCTTCGGCCGGAGAATTCACATGACATGTCATGAGCCACGAGTTGACACAGGTTGAGATGCCAAATCAATTCTGAATAACTCTTCTGTAGTTCGAGGTTTTCACTAGTTCGGAGTGTAATAATCAACATTCTTCATCAGCGAGACTAAACAAATATGGGCCCTGAATCTAACTAGAGCTGTCGTCCATAGAAAAGAATGTGCGCCAGGGAACCTAGGTTCCAGAAAAGAAGGGCCTCTAGATGTCCCTGAAGAATAAACTATCTCATGTCAGCTTGTGCTCGATACAATGCGCCCAAGCTGCCCCTCCTTAAGAGAGATAGCAGCAATACCCAAGGCCGTAGACCTATGCCATGGAAAAAGAGACAGTGAAAGGAGAGAAGTATGAACTGTGTCAGTGGTTGAATACCTAAGCAAATGATTCCCTAACAGCCGGCACATTAAAAATCATGACAGCGATCATAGAAAGTGCACTGTCTGAGGAATTATTTGGTCTGGAGGACTCAAACAAAAGGGGAACTTGTTGCATAAGAGTTGGAAGAAAAGACAAGCAGGAAGAAACAAAACTCCAGATTCAGCAGTCTAGTTTCCACAAGCAAAATCCTGCATATTTAGTGGAAGTGGGCTTACAGCCTTAGACACATGAAGTAATTCACTCTCATAAGGCAACAGTCGCTATGCCATGGGAATATCTTAAAATTGTATGTATTTGTTCTGGACAAATATAAGTTTTGATTTGATAATAGTGCAAAATAAAAAGCAAGGGTTATTATAATTCAACCTGAAATTGTCAAAAGTCAATGTCATGGTGGCGATAGAAGAAGTCAGAGGACCACCAAAGTATTCAGGGATATTGTCTGGAAATCATGAATTTCTTTGGGTAAAGTTGGGTAAAAAGTGAATATGATACAGTTGTGACACAAGTGTTATAGCGACCACATTTCCCAGAGCCATGACTCTAGCCATGCTGCAAATGATAAAGAAGTGGAAATCTGTATGATATCCCCTGAAATTAAAGATATTTCTAGGATAATTAGTAATATGAACGATCACACGGAACACGCTACAGTGAATACAAGAAACGTAACGTTAGCATTTTATCTTTAATATAACTGCCTCAAGTCCATTATTTATTTTTACAACACCATACTGAAATATTAAATTCATACCTCAAGATAAAAAATGGAGGCAAAATATAAAACGAAACCTAAAAGAAGGACAGCCTGTGGACTTATACTGAGATGCATGACCTCATGCAGCAGACGCTAGAAAACAACCACTCAACACAGAAGAAGCCGTTGTTGCAACACAAACAAAAAAGGAGTAATACATATATATTTGATAAACATACTTTTGATAATCAAACCTACAATCATATGTAAAGAAAAAGAGACACACAGCTAGTCTATATTAAATAAATACAACAAGTACAATATTTCATAGATCAGACTAATACAATTATATTATTATCCAGTATTTACAATATAGTTAATGGCATGGTTGTGCTTAATAATTACACTACACCGCTAAACAATTCCAATTTCCTGTTAAGAATAACATTGAGCTCAATGGGAATGAGTGTATGTCGATTAACGGCAACAGAATGTTGTCTGACCTTTGTAAACAGAGTCAGAATAAAGACAGATTTAAACATGCAACGACATGTTTACAGCCCAACTGATATACAGTGGTTTGAATAGCAATTCCTATTTTTCCGCTTCTGAATGAGGCAACTCTGTTCACACACACACACACACACACACACACACACACACACACACACACACACACACACACACACACACACACACACACACACACACACACACACACACACACACACACACACACACACACACACACAGATAAATACGATTATTTTGTCAGTTTAAGACCCATACTGTACAATGCTACGTGCAATGTAGAGCCCTAAAAGATAGCAAAACACATTCAACATATTTATACTCAGTACTTTTATCTTGCCATGTTAACAAACACTTAAGGTTAATTGTGACAAACAGCGTCTATGTGTACAAATCATAGACTGTATATAGAAAAATGTCCGACACTCCCTTAAATTAATGTCTGTTTTGCACTTTAGCCAGGAAATATTTTTACAGTGATTGTCATTTAATGGAAATTTGAAGGCAGATCTTTCAGTTTGTAGCACCACATGGAGAAGAGCTTTTTAGACATTTGTTCATAATATGGTTTGTGTACTTTTATTTTGTATCTGCATACACACCCATCTCTTTTTCATGTTAAATGTCCTGTTTTAGCTAAATAGTTTTAAAGCAGAAGTTCAACATTTTGGGAATGAAGCGCCTGTTGCATGAAATGATTGATACCACTCTCACAGTCAGGAGCCAGTTAGCTTAGCTTAGCAAAAAGACTGACAACAGATGAAAACAGTACAATTCTGTACAAACTGTGAAGTCCACTGAGACAAATGTAACATTTGTGATATTGGGCTATATAAATAAACATTGATTGATTGATTGATTGATTGATTGATTGATTGATTGAAAACAGCTAGCCTGGCTCTACAATTTTATTAAAGGGTAAAAGAAAATGTGTTTTACTGAATTTGTAAAGAAATGTGTTAAAATATATTAATTTGTGAGCTTGAGAAGTGCTGTAGGCAGATTGTGTTATCACTTAAAGCTGTTTTCTCTCTTTGTGCTAAGCTAGCCAGGTACTGGCAAACAAGTCGTATCAATCTTCTTATCAAACTCTAAGCAAAAAAGCAATTAAGCATATTTCCCAAATATTCCTTATCTAGTTTAGTACTATGACATGGGTTTTGTTGCTACAGCTTTATTTGACCAGGTATAACCATTAGCTTATGGTGGCTAAGTTAGCAAACTAAGATACCGCTGCATCACACTACATGCTAGCATTTTCTTTTATCTTGTAATGGTCCCTTAATTTTGTCACAACAGACATTTTGACTTAAAAAAGGTAAAACAGAGCTGTTATTATTATAAAACTATTATTAATGGCTCTGTTCTGTTCAAGTGCCACATTAAGCCATGACAGTTTGATAGCGAGCCGACTCGCACATAACAGGACGCTGAAACTGAAGCAGCTTAATGGAAATCACCCATCATTAATTTAATTATTTTTACCTTTTATTTGTCCTAATGTGACAAAATGTCTTTTGATAAATAGACCTATGACTGCTGCTCAGCTATGGTTATGTGGGCTTACTTTAAGGCCAGATTTATTGTTTTTTTCAACCAGTTCTGCTCATTTCTAAACATGGAAACAACCTTTTTTATTATTAATTAGCTTGGCTTGTAAATTCTTAAAGGCGCTGTCACACCCTGCAAGATGAGGTAGTACAGTATACTGGCAAAACGCTCAGATTTTAACAAGGGAATACGTCGGTTATAAGATGAGGTTGGGTGACAGGAATATAAAAATGGAAAGTTGGTTGGAGAGTCTAGAACAAAAGCGATAATTGAAAATTTGAAGGTAAAAAGTGAAAAGAATGTGAAGCCCTCACATGCAAATCCCATAAAAACTGAAATAATAACATTTTGTGAGAGAAAACAAACCGGTCACATCTATTATTTCACAAAAAGTCCTTCAAATCCACAAACAGCGCCACACAGCTGGGATTTCTAATGATTCACTGAACACATATGAGCTCAGTTCATGCCCCCATGTACTGTATCTGTTACTATGTCTTGAGAAGCTGTTTACAGATGACCATGCAACATGTTCGATCTCTGCTTTCTACTGTCCGGCTGTCTCTGTGGCTTCTCCTCTCTTCAGCCACATTCAGCCTTTATCCCCTTCATAAACAAACCAGGCACAGTTAAGACACTTCCCTCCGTTTGATCCTGCAGTCTGGAAAACTGCAACAAACAAAGTCCAACAAAACCGCTCCGAGACGAGAGTGCAGGGGCTCCGCCTAATGAAAGTTACTGACGTGACACTTGACGTCGTCTAAGCTCAGCACCGTCCCCTGGTCGTTGTTGTTGTTGTTGTGCTTGTGCTTCTTATCAGAGCAGCGACACAACTTGTACTTTATCACCTGCAAGGGTCAAAAACAGAGCAGGTCACCTATTTAGGGGCTCAACAAAGGTTGTAGGAAAAGAAAGATATGACAAATGCTGAGGTAATTTATCAACAATGCACATTGAAAGGTTTCTCATTTTTTGTTAACCTTTCAATTATATATATATTACAAAAAACCTTTTTAATTCTAGTTTCAAAATGAAATTAGGAAAAAGGCCTTTTCCACTTTCATTGAGTATTTGATGTTTCCTTTGTTCATTTTCAGAATTGTAACCCTTTAAATGCCCATTTCTTTCATTTGATCACTGCTGTTTTTGTGAAAGATAACACACAAAAATATTACAACAAGAATACAGCCTTATTATGGGAGCAGGGGTTAAACTTCAAAATTCAATATCAAAAAGCTCTAAAACTAGTAGAATCTGCTCATAAATTACAACCACATGTACTTGTATTAGCTCCCTGAAAGCTGCTATAACACAGAACAAATATATACATGACCTTTGCGTCCTAGCTACAGCTCTGCATCTTGTAAATACTAACATGCATCAGGATATATTTAAATGTAATACATTTCCTGAAGATTTGCAGGTCTCCCTTGAAAAAGAGATCGTTGATCTCAATGGGATTTTTTAACCTGGTTAAATAAAGGCTACAAACAAACAAGAAGCCTCACCTCATAAAGGTAGTCAAATATCTCCAGAATAGTGAGTATGCTTGCTCCGATGAAAAGTCCCATCTGACCGCCAATATCACCTGGAATAACAGGATGCAAGCGGATGAAAAACATCCTCTACATCAACATCAGAAAGATAATCTGTCTTCAGTGTATAAAGAAACAAATGTACCTAACAGTCCGGCCACTTCATAAGCTTTCTTCTGTTCAATGGTTTCATAGTTGAGGGCTTCAAAAAAGATGTCCAAAACCATAATATTCTCTCTGTGAAGAAAAGCAAAAAAAGGGTTATACTTAAGAGCATTGTTTGCATTTCACACACAGGTTGTTGATGCTCACTTAATGTACTGCTCAGTTTTGTTGTATTTCTTTGCCAGATATTTAGCGGAGGCCTTGCTGGGGATCTTGACGAAGGACAGCTCTTTGCTGTATCTGGTCATGTTGCACGGCGTCTCACACACACAGAAGTCGTTGTCTCTCTCCACCAGGAAGTCTGAAGAGAAAAAAAACAGAGCTCAGTTTGACCTTTTGAACAGACCTCCCTATTTAATAAGCACTTCATTTATCAGATGTGCTTTTGTTAACAATGACATCACCAGTAAAAGAGAGTCTAACCAGGGACAGGGGTTGCAAATTAGCCCTGGCTAGAAACCCTACATGCGGCACATTTTGTCGAGTTTGTTATTGTAAAATGCAAAATGTTATGGGATGTGTGTGTGTTTTTGTATTGGTTCAAAAAAAAAACGTGGACAAAGCCTTTTTCTTACCGAGAGCTGGGTCAGCACATTCTTTGTACAGCTCGGGGGTGCAGTAGGGAGCGTCGCCTGCAGCCAAACGAAAAAAACAAAAAACACATTAGTGACATTTCCTTTTTTTGAAGTACATGCAGTATTTTTGTACTATTATTAGGCAGGTTCCTACCAGGCATGTGCACCATGCGGCAGTTGCAGTTGTCCACCAGGTATCGTGTCTCACAGTCGATGCGACAGGCTGTGATGCTGTAACTGTCGAAGAAGTCTGAATCCATCGCAGACACTTTACAGTCTCCCCAGGGAGGGGGGAGGTATATCAGCTACACACACACACACACACACACACACACACACACACACACACACATTACATTACATTACATGTCACTTGTTAGACGCTTTTATCCAAAACGACTTACATACTCAATACTGTGGACAATCCCCACAGGAGCAATTTGGGGTGAAGTGTCATGCCCAGGGACACAACGACATGCTGACTGCAGTGGAGTTTGAACCTGTGACCCCCTGATCCCAACACCAAGGCTCTATCCACTGTGCCACATGCCTCTGCCACACACACACACACACACACACACACACACACACACACACACACACACACACACACACACACACACACACACACACACACACACACACACACACACACACACACACACACACACACACAACTCTAATTATACACGTAAGCATTTTCTACACTTTATATTAAAATAAATAATGATGAGTGTTAATGATACTTTTTTTATGTATATCTTTTGTTTTAAAACCCTGATATGAAGGGGTGGAAGAGTACATTTCATTTAATTAGAATGAATCAAGCTAATTTAGAAAACTAAATCTAACTAATGCTTTGAAATGACTTTAAAGGATAATTCTGGTTGATCTCATTTTTAGTTTTCACCCTTATAAAAAATATTACACACTTTTTATCAAATATATTTTAGAAAGTATAAAAAACAAACATTCATGAATCAAAGAAGGGACGCTGTAACTTATAGAAGAACGTGTCGTACAATTAAAAAAAAATTAAAAACTGCTAAATAAAATAAAATAAATAAATACATTTCCCTCTTTTAAAGTTAACAAAGCTATACTGGGAAAAAAATCACGAGAGAGGTCAGGAGATCATACTGGTTTTCAGACAAACCTCGTGTTGGGCAGAGCTATTAAACAAATCCCACTTGTATAAAGAAGATTTCAGTTTGTACCCTCTGTTCCTGGCAGGACACAAACGTCTGAAACCCGGGCGCCACTCCAAACCCGAGCTGGTCGATGAAGGACGGCTCGTCCTGACTGTGGATCTGAACTTTGACCCCGGCTTCAAATGAAGTCTCATCTGCAGGAAATCAAACAATGTTTGGGGAGAATTAGTCACTGATGAATCCAGACACTTAGCAGAGTTAGAGTGGAGAAATGTAACTTCATGTAAGTGTAAAAGTGTAATATTCTTGTCCTGTACTTGAGTATTTTTCCATGATATGAAATTAGTTACTTGTACTTCATCTCAAGTATTATATTTTTATAATAGAGTTTTAATTACTTTTCATTTGACTGCTTATAGCCTTTCGGTCCAGTGATAACCATTTCCCTCCAATTTAATGATTTTGAATTGAATATGTTCTGATTGACTTAAGTATAAGCAAGTGTTCCTTTATGGGAAAAGAAAATGCTCCTATTTCTTTAGCATAACACGATTTACTATCAAAATGCTACTAAATAAAACATTTATTTTTAAACTGTATGCATCGTCACAAAGCTAAAAAAGGCAGTTTTTCATGAATTTCAGAGTTATGGGTTTTGCACAGGACAGCAACGATACTAACATATGATCAACTTATAAAATATGATGCATTGCTGTAGATTTATCAATCCAATAAATGATAATGGAGTTAAAATCATTTGCAGAATGACTTCTTCTCATTTGATAGTCTTTAACTTTGCTAAATACTCACATACTTTACATAAGGTTTTAATGTAGGAATTGTAATTGTAGTGGGGTGCTCAAAGTGTTTTATTAATACTTTTACTAAAGTTAAGGATCTGAATACTTTATCTACCACTAATGAGTTTCACACTATTGGGTATAAACATCTGCCCGAACACTTACATTACATTACATGACATGTTACTTGTTAGACGCTTTTATCCAAAGCGACTTACATACTCAGTACTGTGGGCAATCCCCACAGGAGCAATTTGGGGTGAAGTGTCTTGCCCAGGGACACAACGACATGCTGACTGCAGTGGGGTTTGAACCTGTGCTCCCCTGATCTGAACACCAACGCACTATTCCACTGCGCCACACACCTCGCCACTTACAGATCTACCAGCCACTAAATAAGTGAATAATGGACCCCCCCCCTCACCTGTTTCTCCCCAGATAGGCAGGTATTCATCCTGCTGGATGTCCAGCATGAGCTCGAGTCCATTACCCATACCCCCCTTGGTGGTGAAGAGGGGAGTGCGTCCATCACCGCCGGCATTGAAGGTGTAACACTTCCCGTAGCGAGTGAAAACCTGAGAGACACATGAGGGACATTATTTTTATAAGCTCTGCAAAATGTTTCTTAGCAAGGCTTTTCCACTGGGTGTCAGTGTTTGACTCCATTTCTGATATGTGTGTGTGAACATGTGTGTGTACGGCAGAGATAGTGTAAGAGGATCAGAGGATGTGTGACAGAAGTGAGAGAAGGAGTGTGACCAAAATAAAAAAGGAAGAAGGGGGAAAGAGGAAGACTTCCTGTGAGGTCTGTGAGTTACACAATGAACCCTGTGAGGTGATGGAGACTGTCAGCCCGGTGATTTAACAATCCCTCGCATGCTCTTTATGGCACTTTATAATGGACCTGATGTTACCATGGAGACCTCGCATCCCAATCGGGAAGAATGTAGCGTTACTTTTTAAGGAAAGCCAAGACATTCATGTTAGATTGAAAACTATCAGCAAAAGCAGGACACCTTTAAACAGCATTTAAAACATGATGCTGATTGACTGTAAATAGACTGATGCATATGCAGCTTTCTTTAGTGAGGAGTACATCTTGCATTAAAAGCGTGTAGTGTCGTGAGAGTCATATAACCAATGCAGGGAGAATAAGGGGGAGAGTGGGAGAGCAGGGAGCTCCAGAGAGCAGAGGACGTAAAGTGAAAGAGACAGACAGAGAGAGGGAGAGGGGGGGAGAGAAAAATGGAGAGTTTAGTTGCCATCGCTCGAAGCAGGCTATTGTTCAGCGTTATAGCACAGAATGACATATCTATGATTAGAAACAACAAACCAACCAAGTAATTGTTGAGAAAGAGTTTGGTCCTGCCAGGGGAAATTTCAACACTTCGGCCATATATCATGTACAGTCAGCGAGAGACTGCTGCTAGTAAGAGCAACACATCAATCGTAGGAGGAGGGGAAAAAAACTTTCAGCGCCATCAAGAAGGGCAAATAAAATGCACGGCAAGCCGGAAACAATATGTGTTCACACATTTAGAGTCATTCTGACAAACCTGTAGGTGTTAGTCAGTCTTTGAGAGGACATTTTTGTATCACGTTAACAAGTGAGTTTACCCTAAGGAACCAGTATACTAAACCCCCCCATCCTCCCTTCTCCTTTGTGGTGTCTGACCATTTCTGTACCTTTCCCACCAACAATCAAACTTTCACACCCACTTCACACTGTGATTAGCCAGCTGTGTGGATGTGAGAAAGCCTCAGCACTGCTCTCTCCAGATCTCCTTTTTCTCATTTGTAAAGGAAACCATTTCTGTTATTTTTCATGTGAACAATGGAGTACAACACTATGAATTCCCTCAAGGAGAGATTGTCTGGAAATGTTAATGTGACCAACTTTTTACAGAAGATCTAATCTACTATCTCTTATGATGTTTGGTTTATCACTCCGTCTGAGATATGACTGCCTTCTCTTGAACAGAATGGAACGACATGGAACCCAGCTTGTGGTGCTCAAATCACCAAAATAAAATGATCTCCAGACATGATATTTGTAAAGATACATTACGGCAGAGTTTTCAAATGTCATTTTTGGGCGCTATGAGCAAGTGCCATCTATTTTTATTATATCTTAGGGAAGACATCTCCACAGTTAATGGGTGTTTCTCAATGTCGAGGTAGGCTGCTCCAGAGCCACTATTTCAAGCATACTACGTCATCGAGTGCCGCCGAAGGACTGTTCCAATGTCCAGCATACTTAGAATTCTACCGAGGCCGGCGTACTTAGTAGCGAGAAATTTCGAGGCTGCACATGTGTAGACTCCGCGGTCTTAAAATCCCCACAATGCTTTGCGCACGGACCAATTTCCAAATCTTTGGCGGGAAATCGCGCTCCATTTAAGGCGGGGCCTCTCATATGACGCACACCTGCACACCTGTTAGCCTGTTCCACAATTCTTCGTTTTCCGAGGCTAGGAAGGATTCTTGCCTCGCTTCTGAAGCAAGTGACTCGGAAGACATGTGCTACCAAGCAAGCGTCCTCGACATTGAGAAACACCCCAGATCTCCAACACTTGGCAACTCACATCAAAACAATTTTAGATAAATCAATTACCTAAAATCTGGTGAAGTGTTTAAGTATTGGACACATTGAGATGATGACCTGATTCTGTTGGAAGATGCCAGCCAGGAGTCATTATGAGTTATCCTCTGAGGACCACAGATGTCGGCACAAAATGTCATGGCAATCCATTTCAGTCATTGAGATTTTTCAGTCTCTGCCAAGCGGTGCCTCTACTGTCATAGACACAGACCAACATTACTAAGAGTTAAGCAGCTAGCATGGCTAACAATCATCCAGTAAACACCATAGTTAACTTATCTTCTCTCCTCCACCTCCGGCTCATTCATTCACTTATTGATCTGCAAACCCGTTAAACATCTGTAGGAACTAACCAGAGAGGCTCGGCCCTTTCCCCACAAATGAAAGCATAAACGTGTCAGATCATACGGTGGCTGCACTCACTTTACTTCATAAATAAATAAATCATGGCATAAATGTAAAATCCATGCGTATGACGGGAACATGATGTTCACCAGCATCTTGATCGATACACAGAAGTGAGGGGATGTCAGGTGACACTTGTTCTCTGTCTCTTGTTCGAGAGTGGATGTGACAGAGGTGGTAAGAAAGAAAACACAAGACATGTATAATTTACAAACTTCACACAGCGTGCATACTGCAGCTGCTTGTTCTGCTTGTTATGAGGAATTAATAAATGATTGGCCATGTATGAAAAAGCTTTTGTGCAGCAGACATCATATGGAACATGAGGAATAACATGAGTTGAAACAAAGAGAAAATCTGACTTCTGTAGTTTACTGTGTATGCTTTTTAAAATCTTTTAGTAATAATACATGTATTACAAAAAAATCTAGCCTTTATTTCCACAGGATTTCATAGTTTACCGACTGCAGTTTACACACAGGCTTGAAGCTTCAAATGTCTGGGCTCAATAAAGTTGCCACTCACACACAATTTCTCATGTATTGAAAAGCACTCACCACAACTCTGCACAATTTAATCATTTGCACATATTTATACATTTCTGTATTTCCAGCCAAATCAGATTTGAAAAGAATCTCTTCATCAAAAAAATCCATGCACTTTCCCATCCATTTGGTGAAGTCTTCTATCTGTGAGCTGCTAAAGGATGCCTCAGCAGGTTAAATCCAATCCATTAGAGCTCTGTTGTTTTATGGGAATGTTTTCAAGACTTTAAAGCTGTCTCCGATAAGTGCCAACACTTTCACTGTTATTATGCCGTACACTTAAACCAGCCATCACTGGAAAATGCTATTTAAATGCAACAGCTAGCAGACAGCAGCCCAAGGTGAACAGCACTAAAAACGTCCCCTTTTATTGCATCCCACTGTGCAGTTTGTGTAATTTAAGACTCCTAATCCCACAAGGATTTCAGTTGACCTGGAAAAACTATAGTGGCGCCCACTATAGTTTTTCCAGGTCAACTGAAATCCTTGTATGTCCATGTATCTCTTTATTTACTTTCATAAAGTTAATTGATGTCTGAAGGCGCCCTTCAGACATCAATTAACTTTATGAAAGTAAATAAAGAGATACATTTTAATATCACAAATAGTCTAGGGCAATGTCAGCAGATATGTGGGACTGGAATACAAAGAGAAACATCACCATGCTAACATAAAGATTTACTTTTCAAAGTATTGGAAAATCTAAAATGTTAACAAATGATACATTCCAAAGTGTTAATCCCGTGTCTCTGTTTTCAATTTCAATTTTTATACCAAAATATCCCTTTCATTCTTCTTCAAAACATTCAAATATAATGATCATTCATTTTAAACTCAGGGGAGGTTATTTAATTATTAGGATATAATCACTGTCGTGTATCGTCATCATAGAGAAATACACTAGTTGTAATTTTTGGAATTCCACTAAGAAACACTTTTGTTTACATTTTTGAAAATATGGTCAAGGATATATTTATTCACATTAACCCTTATTTACATGTTTGGAATAGCCTTGACAAGTTTTAAGACAATCCATCTGATAGAGGTTTTTCACTTTTACTTTAAAATGTCAGTCTAATGATGCTACTAACATTCAAGGGGATCACCAAATGAAGGGGGACAGACCACCTGGGAACCATTAACGTTTGGTCAATTAATGGCAATTCAGCCAACACAATACCAACGTGTAGGAGGGATGATTATTCAGACAGGCTGCTGCTGTGTGTGTTTCAACCCGATGAAAGCTACACAAAGCTATGGTGGACTCCACTCCTACGTGACTTATTATTACAGTTTACACTCTTTGTAATGGATGATCTTGGAGTCAAATCACCAACGTTTGCAACCAAAGGATAAGAAATTCAAGAGATAAAAGCATCAGGGCCAAACCGCCCCCTCCTCTGTTTGTTTCTGATTTAATTGCCGTCTTACCACGCTAATTATCAGTACTGAGAAACAACACTATAGGAAGTGAGGAAAGGAAAGCCAGAGGTCCAGTGGAGCTTTTGTGTCTGTGTGCGTGTAATAATGATGCCCTGAGTCACTGGTTGTCAAAATAAAGGATTCAAGACGAAAGGAAAACAAGAATAGGTAGAGGCAAACCACTCGGCTCGCGGGGAGAACGGATAACTCAAATGTTTAACTTTCTCTTAGTGAGAAGAGGAAGAGCAAAGGTCTAAAAACACAACAGGGATAAAAGCTGCCAGATATATCTGCCATAATGCTTTCAAAATGGACAGAGAATGGAAAACAAGCGACTACTTTACATTCTATCGACATCTTATCTGCATTTTTTAGTCCATCACTTTTTAAATTGATATTCTTGGTTCCCAGAGGATAAAGCTCAGAGACTTTTGTGACCGCCATACTTTCTCTTCAAGTGCGGGGTTTTACACTTTTGTTTTGTATTCAAATGTTTATTCAAACAACTATTAGATGGATTGCTCTGACCTTTGGCACATACATTCATGTTCCCCTCAGGATGGATTTAAATGACCCTGCTGATTTTGTTTACTGTTTGCGC